GCCACTGAAAATGGGAGAACATCTTCCATTTTGGATAAGTAAAGGTTCAGTTAAAACCATCAACAGTTCGATATTAGACCATCTGGTTCAAACTGACCGGCCACAAAGCCAGCCAGCATTAAACAATCCTTCTCTATCATCATGTACCAGGTACCAAATAAATTTCCAAAAACATCGGAGTACCGCATACTACAAACAGAAGAGGCTATCGTGATTCGTGTGAAGCAACCAGTGCTTTGTGTGCAAAAAAAACAAGTCCAGCCACGACTACTGCCCTGGGTAGCCTTCAGTGGAGACTGTAAATTCATGAATTTGTATTTTTATCATTCCTAATTTCTCTGTCTGACATTCAGTTTGTTGTTATGTTGATGCTATTGAACTGTAACCTACTGATATTATAATTAATGATTTGATGTTATTTGAGCAACAATAATGTTATTAATAACACTAATTCATCCATTCACTATTATGGATGCATATAACTGTACAACCTGATGATGAAGTTATCGAAAACAGTATTCCTTGTTCAGCATCCATTCTTTTGAATACATGAAAAGACTAGCTATCTTTGATCATAGATGTGTACATTTAGTCCCTCGTGTTCAGTGGTTAAATATGGTGAGCACTATTGAAGCTAGGTTTACAGTGTTAGGCAACAAGGGTAGGTCATCTGATCCGACTGTGAACATGAATCCACTGAAATAACTGGGACACGTGTTGCTCATGCCTGGCCATCTCCTTCCTCGACGAGTAATGTCAGCTGACACCGGATAAAGTCGAAAGACAGTGAGATTTAGTCAAACTAAGACTTGACATTATTTCCTAAAATCTTTGATCATTACTTCGGACTATGTAGGCAGATGAAAGCTGCCTAATTCAGGTCTTCGGGATGCTAAGAACCAACAGCTGGAAACATCTGGTGATATGTCTCCAAGTCCTTTTCGGTGCCGCAGGTCCGTCTTTGCCCTTTGGTATTGTTTCTTCCTCAAATTCCTACTTATTATGGTACTTATGAGACCCTTTTGGCTCTCTTTCTCTCATTTTGCGCGCTATATGGAGTTTGGTGACCTGAAGTCATGCAATTATGTGAGAAATCCACCATCTCTCCCCACCACATAGGTAGGAATCATACTCTACAACAGTTAAAATCCTACTCGTAGTCTTAGATTTTTTATGCGTATACTAAAAGCTGGGCTCGCCCCAGCCTTTTAAGTCCTATGTTGATAAGGCACCTACTGACTGCTCTTCTTAACACCCTTTATTACATTTCTTAAACAAACTAATCAAGAAAAACGGATGTACTAAAAGTACTCAAAGTTAGAAATTTTCTTCTTAGCTGGATCTAAATTCAGAACAGTTTCAATTATCTCAGTGATCGAGAAGTCTACCCCTGGATGATAAGCAATATCATATAAGATTAGCTGATCGTTTCAAAATACAAACAATAGATTATTTAGTAATATGCCTTTTCTTGGGTACTCACATGATTCATTTTATTGGGGACCAACAAACATTAAAAGTCGATTATGTAGAGTCGCTGCACAGTCGAATAATAACATTCAACCCTGGAATTTTAAAACATGTTGAAGTGTACAATACACTTGTATCATTTAAAATGTTGGTCACGTTATACACCTGATTAATGCATCCTGATCGACAATTTTTTTCATTTGACTGATCCAATATTCAACTCTTATATTTCCAAATAAAGTAATAATTAGAGATTATTTACCACGTTTTTGTTACAAAATACTAACTGGGTTCTAATGGGAAGTCGTGACCAGTAGGGTACAGCATATCGAGTGTGAGGACAAATGCTTGCCAGCGATGAGATTCGCTAGAGGTCGAGCCATATCATGAATTGGTAGAAGTTGGAATTCATGGACTGGTCATCGGGTCATGTCCCAATGCCTTAGTGGTGTACGAGCTCACCTTGTAACCAGAATTTCCTAGGTTCGAACCCCTGCGGCAGGTACGTACTGATGAAGAGTCCTAAACTAGGCTACCGAAACAACTGTCCAGTACTCTCACGTTTTTTAATGGTCATGTAACCACTTTCAGTTAATGATGAAATCCTAAAACGAGTCAATTCCCTCCAAACCAACACTCGAATTATTACTATTTTTATTTGGATTACTTTGGTTACAGGACCGCGTTCATGACAAAGTTAGACAGTTCAATGAAAGGCAGCAGAACGCACGATGTATCACATCTGGGAGTCATTACATTGTGGTGAGAGCTGGCTGCAAGCCAAAACTGTAGACAATGGTTAACGTCGATGTTCATTCCCGAATCAATGTCATGAGAAAAAACAATAACAAAGCCTAACTTTGAGAAAACCACCAGCCAATCACAGCGGAGTTAACGTGTGTAAATATGATTCGCAGATATATGGCCTGGTTTTCTGAGAAATGGCCACAAAGAGATAACAGAATAACCTTCAGCAAGAAAACAACAAATCAGAAGACGTTGCTCCTCCGCTAATAACAATGTACATTAAAGTCTATAAATACCTCTTAATTTTCTCAATAAACAATCTGTTGCCTGGCCATTGTCTACCGTCATTACAACATGAATCTAATTGTTCCTCAGTGTGACGGTGCTACTACTGAGTCTGAAGCCCAGCATCCATCCTTATGTACAACAAAACGTTACCCATACGCCTTCGTGATCTTTAGCCATGACTAAGAAGGGGCTAACCAATTCACTTCGGACGTGTTAATGGAAAAACAAAATTTTCTCATGATGCCTGAAAGTAAACAAAATGATCCTCACTACCTTCCTTGAGAGGAAACATGAGATACTGACTCAATTAATCTAGATACAACTACCGATAGAATTTGATCAGGTAGAAAGACGACTTACTGAAGATGTTTTCACGAACTTAGATTAGTGCGAATCAAGGAAAAAATGGATGGCTGTTTCCGCTATGTTTGATAGTCTTCAGTAATGTACACGCATGACTCCGTTTGTGATTTGTCGATTATCACCTACTTTTGTTCATTCCCTTAGAAATGAACTTATAATAGAGTTTCCTCAGATGTTTAATTAGCAGACTAATCTGCAATTTACACAGGTCGAAGTAAAACTTCACCTCAGTTTCTTTTGCAAAGTCAAATTACTCAGATCAGAATGGATGATCTCGTCGATACCGTAAGTGTTAATCAAAACACCTAGCAAAAACACATCACTCTATACACTGCTGATCGATCGAGATGAGTAGCTGTACACTACTCAACTCAACCAGTAGTGCTTGCATGCCAAATGGAATCGATCTTAAAACACTGGACCGTCAATTCCCTTGGTTAGCGTCCAACTAATTACCAATGTACTCATTTTGACTCATAGTGCGATGGTGTGATGCAGACAATGTGTGCCGAAGGAATGTCATCCTCACATGTTCCCACATTTCAGTTCGGCGTTAACAACAAAATACGATATTTCTATTTGAATATTCCATTTTAATGTAAACCGAAATCATACGCTCAGTGATTCGTTAACGAATATAAATTGTTGATATATATAAACAGCAATTTGATTATTGAAAAAGCTACCTTAGCTCCCATGTCTTGCCTTCTGTTGTTACATTTGGTGTCACTGCCTGCTGACAAATGAAAAGCCTATGCCCTGCAAAGAATGAGACATATGGATCTTTTGGCAGGACTTCGAAGCTGTAATGCAGTTGAGTGGTGTTCAAGACCCGTCAGCGATGATACTCTTATTTGGAACGTTGCTGGGGGTTCGGACGATGGCAGTATATGATTGTGTGAGGCGAAACACTGGTGAACACTAGCCAGCGTCATGCGAACTGCTCACAAAGTTGAAAGAACCATAAGTATTCACTGTGAGACGTGATCACGCACATACGACAAAAAATGTCAGCAAAGAGAAGTCAGAGAGCTCCGGAACTCCATACAGCAAGATAAGCTAACAAAGCCGCCAGCAGCAAGAAGAGTGAACAAACTTCAGTCGAAAGTTCTTGACGAGGGAACGAGTTTGTTGGTGTGATATAGACAATGTTTGTCAACGGAATGTTATTCTTACATATATATATATATATATATATAAACAGAGGTTTGAATAATGAAAAATATACCTTGGTTTCCGTGTCTTGCCTTCTATTGTTACAATAGAGCTCAGAGAACCAAATCAGTTCAAACCACCCAATTTGTGTCTAACTACTTGGGAGGACAGGTACATCAAATTCGTCATGTGCAATTCAACTCGCAACTTATAATTTTCCGCTCATGAACATTAGTCAGCAATATCGGCAACTTTTCACCCTATTCAATCTCCATGACCTTTGGTCGTATTGTGGTGAGAGCTGTCTGCTAGCCAAAATTAGTATACGCCAATTTACGTCCATGTTTTCATCCCAAATCTTGGTCATGAGAAAAAACAATATCAAGGCCTAAACTTAAGGAACTCATCAACCAATCACAGCAGACTAAGTGTGTGCAAATACGATTCGCAGATAAATGGCCTGACTTTCTAAGAAACGGTCACAAAGATATGACATAATAACCTTCAGCAGGAAATCAACCAATCAGGAGACGTTGCTTCTCTGCTAACAATAACGCTAATAATACCGTAAATAAAAATCTATAAATATCTGTTGATTTTCTCAATAAACGATCTGTTGCCTGGCTCTTGTCTTCTGTTGCTACAGTATGTATAAATGACCCCTAGAACAACTGAAAGGTTATTACCACCTACTCAAACTCGATAGTCTTTCGATGTCGCAATGCTCTCAGCAATTATCCTATAACCCTATAAAGTATAAACTGGAAAAAGATGCTAACGTATCCCTTCCCCGTTCCTTCGTAAAATACTCAACACGCCATTTCGAAGAATCAGTAGATCAATCAACAATGAATGCATATTTATATATACCTTTATTTCATCTTTAATGACAGACAACATAGCCGATAGATTCAAAGCAGGATAGAATTACACATGATTTCATGATATAAGAGAATGAAAAGCACAAGTCGAATGGAACACAAACACGCACATTGACGCACTGACGCACACATGCATACACCAATACGTGGATACAAGTATAGGCAAGATATATACTATTTGAATAGGGAACCAGTCAACCAGAAATAAACAAACACATCAAAGATAAGGGAATGATAATGATGATTAGAATCGGTTCTGCCATTTTGCTTTCTTCCTCAGTAGGACAATAGACGTGAATGGACAAGTAAATAGGTAGATAGATGGATAGATAGATAGGTAGATATACATTGATATAAAGTTTCTCCAAAGGAACCAATCACAGATAGTATTCCCCTCACAGAATTACTTATTCATAATGATTAGATATATACTATGAGCATTATGCAATTGAAGCGTATAATTAATTAATAAATAAATATGTATATATATATGACACATGTAGGTCGTTTTGAAAAATCTTATATTATCAGTCAATATGCTTTAACAATGCAAATTATGAAGAGGTTTCATTATGACTAACAGTCTCGAAGAAGTGTTGAACATTTCGTTGAATTGTCTTGACCATATCTGAAAGGAGAAGAAAACAGAATGATGAAATAATTAAGTCTCTATTTGAATGTGAAAAAGTCATTAAAAATCCCCAATCTCACTGATACCAGTTGAAACGAGAGAACATTGGAGATCTCTTTTTCGTCGATTTAGAATTAGCGACCCATGAATATATCGGGAGCCAAAAGGATGAGTAACAGGGTGACTACATATTATGAAGTCAGTGGAATGCTTGCACAGATAACGTCGGAAAATTTAGGTTTACCTTGTAGTCGACACTAAACATTCTTAATCAATAATCCGTTGCACTAACCATAAATTCTTCCAGGCATATTGTGGCCCTTACACATAATAAAAAGACCCTATATTAAGTTGTAAACAGATTATTATCAGTTAGGCAACCATTGGAAACTAGAGAAGGCTAAACAGCTGTTTCATCCTTGTGTGTAATAGTTGGGGAGTGTTCAGCCTTACGCACCTTATATTCCATCAGGAAGCGAACGCAGTATATTTAGCTTACAAGATGAACCCGTCTACCATTCATCCACTGGGACACCTTGTAAACTCAAAGTACTGAATTTGATTCTTGGTGGGTGTGCACTGCCCGAGAGACACAAACTAGGACGAAACATCTATCTAATACTCTCCGGTTCTCTAAATGATATCAGTCTGTGATGAGACTAGGAGCAAATCCAATGCCTACAAACTAACTCTTGAACCAACCCTCCAGTTATTCTTTCGTTCATCAACAGTTTCCTACACAAAAGCGACTATAAAACTACTTATTTCATGAGAAATAAAGACGAAATTTTACTCAGATATTTCACAGATAGATTCGGAGGAAAAATATTGACTGGTCACAAGTTGAGCTATCCTCCTAAGAGTTGAGTAGCATATTTAGCGTAGTATTCAAACAAGCGATTTCTTCAACGTGTTATATTTCATATAAACTTAAATGCGTTAAACTTAACTTGACAGGTTTACCTTACCGTTGATATATATCACTGATTTATATGAATGTCTGAAGACCAGTCACGTCGAGCAGCAGTGCTTCTTAGACAGATGGAAGCGTACTGTTCAACAGTCCCAAACTGGGCTGCCGAAACACCTGTCCAGTACTCCATTGCTGGTTTTCCAACGGTTCTCTAGCCGATATCAGTCGATGATGAAATCCTCCAAGCAATCAAACAAAATCCCTACAGTTCCAATACTCGACTTAGAAGTGAAGGCGGGAGTAAGACAAGGCTGCCTACTTTCACCAATGGTAAATTTCCTGATTGCGAGAGGTAAAAAGAATAATGCGACAGACAGCTGTGGGCAGCGAGGAAGCAGGCACAAAATGGACACACACAAAAAATTGGAGGATCTGGATCTCGCCGATGACAAATATCTGATTTCCCTCAATCTGTAAGATATGCAAGTGATAAAAAGCAACAAGTTGGCAGAAGAAGCATAAAAGATGAATAAAGAGAAAATTGAGGTGGGTGATGCAGACTCTTGGCCAACAGCAACAGCAACAACAACAAACAACAATCAGCATAAATGGGAGAAATCTGAAAGAACCAACCTCCATCACCTACATTCCTGAGAAGCATCGTTTCAACTATAGTCGGATAGAACTGACGAGGATATCAAAGAGATGATTGAGAAAGCAAGACAAGATTTCATTACTCTCAAGTCTATGCGGAGGTCAACAGAAGTGAGCATGAAAGTGAAAATAAGATCTGGATTTTCAACTCCAATGTGAAGTCAGTCAGTGCTACTTATTATACGGATCAGAGACTTGGCGCACATCATGAAGAGCACCTCAAACAAACTACAGGCCTTCATCAATAGCTGTCTTCACTCATTGCTATTCAAGATCAGATGGCCGGCCAGAAAAGATGAGCAGTAGAGATCTCTGGGAACGAATCAACTCAACAGGAATCAGCTGTGCAACAAATATGCAGGAAGAAATGGAGGTGGATTGGCTGACCATACTATGAGGAAACCATCAAGTGACATCACTAGACAGGCCATTGCTCGGGTGTTACCCTAAATAGAAGCGGCGAGTTGGTTGTTCAAATGTGACTTGGAGGCGGTCATGTGAAGAAGAGATGAAAGCATTTGGTTAGACGTGGAGCCAGGTGAGAACGTTGGCAGAGAACCGAACGCAATGGAGACGTGCAGCTGAAGCTTTATGTTCCTCCTCTGTATGGTCGCTTCTGTCGTTTGAGCACCTATTTTACATTAAACACATTAATATGCCTAGTATTCCTAAATCGCTATCTCTTAAGATTTTAGGGTAAAAGGAAATCATAATAAAGTCAGAGTTGATAGTGTTGCCTAACAAGACAATCAAAGCTTCTCATATAAAATTATTCATCTGAGAGAACACAACTGAAGTAGTGCCTACCCACAGAATATCTAATAAATGATTGCCTGGTGCGACAGACAGCTGCTTCGCCTGCAGTATCTTTCGAGGGTTATATTCCTTTCCATTCTTTACGTTCACAGTGAAATACAAAACTTCAAGTTTTTAAGTTACCATAGTGGCGAGATTGCAATCAACTCCACATTAAAGAAGGATACTGACACATAAATATCTTCTCTCAACGTTCAGTAACAGGATGGAAGCATAACGGAACATTAAAATGATCCATCTATTGAAAGCAAATATGGAACGGACAACTCACCAACTTTCATAGTTGGGTACCTTTGCATACCAGACGAAATCTGGTCCGTCCACTTATCGACAGAATCCACAGAATTCACAGCCCTGCCACTATGAAGGAGCAGCTAGACAGCCTGGAAAGAATCCTCCTTAAAAGCGGTTACCTAGAGCTTTTCATCACAAAATCTATGAAGTCTGAACCCCTAAAATTGCCTACGCTTTCTGCTTGAATCTACAATTAAATGGAGAATAGTCACCAGCAGAAATACTGAGAAACTACCCGTCCTGCTCACTGAAGAAAACCTTCTTCACCGATGAAATTGGAATAACTTTCTCTACGAAACGTGAAGGATGAGCTACAATTGCTGGCCTCATCTATGTGCATCTATCAATTCACATGTTCGAGTAGAGCTACTTTTGTCGGCCGTACCCAAACATAGCATCCAAAATTTGCTTTCATAGATTTATAAAGGAGAAGAAAGATCCCTACGCAGCCCTGTCTTCGAACACCTCATCGAATCTGAACATTAAAGTTATCTACAGAATACTGAGGAATCTTGCTTAATGAGTGCGAATTAAACATCTTCCCTAACACTGCATACAGAAGACATTTGTTCAGGCACTAAGCCTAAAATGGATCTGTTCTGTTTTAACATCGGATAGGTACTTTACTGTTTCGTAATTGTGTTCTTTTCTTACCCTCCTCCCTCCCATTTAAATTTAAACACCTTATTACCACTGTTGTTAACTTGGTTCTCCGTCAATTTTAGTTGAATTCTAATCAACCTCGTCAGTTATATCACGTCACTCAATTTATCTATTTAATTCTACTTTGGTTTCTACCCAATTAAAGCTTTCTACATTATGTAATTCATTATTTGAAATCTACACTTCTATTGACACATCTTTGGAAATATTCATTTTCAGGTACTGGTTTTGTAAGGATTTTTCGTTTGATTGGTTAGAGGATTTCATTATGAGCTGACATCCTTTAGAGAACCATTGAAAAACCAGTCATGGAGTACTGGACAACTGTTTCGGGAGCCTAAATTGGACTTCTTCCCAGTATGCATCCACCAGGGTTTATGGGCCATTAGACCGGGTCCTAGTGGCCTAACCAGAAGGTCCTGGTTTCGAACGCCGATGGGTGTGTACTGCCGAAACAGCTGTTCAGTACTACAATGCTGGTTTTCCAACGGTTCTCTAACCGATATCAACTTATGATGAAATCCTCCAACCAATATTCATTTTGTTGCTAGGACAATTTACAATGCGTAAATGCGATTGTACAGCTTGAGAGTAATATCGCCGAATAGAGTGACTCTTCGCTAAACGTCTTTTCTTTTAGATTAGTGACATTATTTATACCGTGTGGGGTTGCTATGGCCAAATTTTCAACCATCCTTCAATGCCGCATTAACCGCTGGCTAGTAAACTATTTGCAGTGTCTAGGAGTGTACCAGCTGGGATCGACGAACAGTCTACCAGTGAAACGATACTGACATATTCAACAGTGACATCAACAAGAGAATAATAATAATAATTTGTTTTATTCCAAAACAGTACTTGTGATACAGAATGAAATTCTCAGCATTTCAACTAAAATATTGCATCCACTTAGTACATTACCAATCAATTGAATTCTACATAGATTAAGGAAATCTCAGTTAATTATGACAACAACATATTGGCATGTCGGTAGTAAAGCCAAAGTTGAACAGTGTTTGAAGGTGTTAGAAAACTAGGTGCTATTATATTTACTGGCGTAAGCGGAAGAAAGAAACAAGCAGCACATAACGGAAAAAAATAGAGGGAGAGAAAAGGAAAAGAAAGAAAGAAAATGTTGTACCTATAAACGATATTGGTTGGAAAGACGAGGCCCAGTTGTTCTACTGACTATTTAATGAATTATAGGTGTCACACCTAATGCTTTCTTTATCTCACAGAACATGAGCTAAGTAGGGTATGGTTGAGTTTTGTACTTGCTGGTGCGAGCGTATAATTTTCTATATAGGCTTCTGGTTTTACCTGATGAGATGCAAGGGGAGAGTTTTGAGTGAAGAGGGTGGTGTGAGTTAGATAAAATGGATTTGGCCCATTTTTCACATGAGTCCATGTGCCTGTCAACCAGAGTATTAGCAAGCTGGTTAAGTGGTACATTGCTTACCCTGCTGACATCCTTTAATATCCTGCGAAATATGTTATAGTCTTTCTTCAGTAGCCCGGGAAAAACTAAGCCTGGGGAACAATAGAGAATAAAAGGCAGAATGCGAGAATTAACGAATTGTAGGAGTAAGGGTTGGGTTATACCAGAATGTTTTAACTTCTTGATGTAGAAGGTGGGACGGAATATTTTTTTAGAAAT